GCTCCTACGCCTGACATACACCAGCCTGTCTGGTGTTGGGGGGGATTGTATTTAAAGGCATCGGGGAGGCTGGGCCAGCAGCAGGGCTAAGGCAATCCTGCTGAGCGAACCTCCCTGGCAGCTGTAAGCATCCCACCTCCTCTCCTACACCTGACAGGCAAGCTACCTAACAGACAACCGCCTGTTAGGTATAGGAGTAGGCGGGAGTGTGTTGGAAGCAGCATTACTGCACCTCACAGGTGTTTATCGGCCACTCCTGATTTCCTCAACTGTCATGAGTTCTTTGCAGTCTCCTGTAGCTGTTGTTTTTACCTCAGAACACTGAGCTCTGCAGCTGACCAATCAGAGTGGGGGGTGCAAGGAGGCAGCAGCCTGGCAGCCGGATAGGAATCAATGTGGGGAGCACATTTTACCCCTTTTGACCCACTTAGGGATCGAATTTCTAAAAATCCCTTCTTAGTGAACATCTACGCCATGGTAGGAGCACTCTCCCCGAATTTGGTTTTTCTAGGTCCAGCAGTTTGGCCTGGGCGTTGGTTTTACGGTGAGAGGACTTTCTTTTATATATATCGATGCAGGGTCTTGGGAAAGGTTTCATGGCCTCTGTTGCCCCATCTGTGATATGGGAATAATAAGGACTTACAGCTAGTTCTGCCATAACAAGATACTTGCATTCTTGAAAACTGCCATGTTATAGAAAATCATGCTGTAGCCATATAATTGTCCCAGGAGAAATAATACAATAGGAGTGGGAAATGTTCCAGACCGCAGCCTGGTTAAAATATTATTATTCCAACTGCTAGATTGTCTGTCGGTACTTATTGCATCAAAGTGTGCCAATATCAATCATACTGCAGGATATAAGACCCAGAGATCACCATTCCAACTTGTATCTGATGAAGAGAACTTTGACTCTTGAAAGCTTACACTCTAAGGCGTTATTGGACTTGAGTCTAGCAATATTACAGTAAAGAAATCAGTAGAATTAAATAAAATTACCTACAGTACATGAAGGTACTGTAAAACTGAAGGAAGACTGCTTGCTTTGACTGGCAGAGTAGGAGCAGCATCGCAAAGATGGAAGAGGAGAAGAGGTTGATGCTACTCAAACACTCATTAGCTGTACAAAGCTACATCATCATGGGTAAACTGGAAGTCTGCAGTAGAATTTCCTTAGCACACAAGACAGGTTTTTATCTCTCCACCACTGGATATTCCAAAATTAATCACATTCTGTATGTTGCATTATAGCACTTGTCACCTTATTCTTCTATCATGTTCTAACAGAACTAGCTGCATCTAACATGGCTGTGGTGATGTCACATTATGACAGCTCTCATCTCATTAAGGAATGCTGTATAGGGATTTTTATGCTTCCATGTAAAAACAAGAACAGCCACCTCATTCCATATCTTTTCATTCCCCCTTCTAAACTGAGAGTCCAAACCCACTGCATTACTATGGAGTTAGAACAGATATACAATTTATCAACGCTGATCTGGACCATTGCTGCTTTTGAGGGGCCTGGCATATATCAATGTTGCGTTACTTTTGGTCAGATGCCTTTACTCCCAAAATAATAAGTTAGAACAGATATGAAACTTGAGACACCATTCAAAAATGATATTGATGTGTATCTTAAGACACAGGATCCCCCAAATAACAGGCAATGTCTGAAGCAGCATACCCAGAGATGAGGATGGGAGTTAGGATGAACTTCCCAAAGATAGCTGCCATACTCAAGTCAATGTATTATCACTGAAGAAATTCAACAAGAACAGATCCAGGGAACGGTTGGACGTGGGTTGGCTGGCATGGCTACCTACAGAGCTTTACTGCTAACATAAAATAACACGGAGAGAATCCCTTACCAAAGAGAGTGCAGAAGAGAGCTCCGAGCACTGGATCGGGGAGCGATGCAAACAAAGCGCTAAATTTGCCAACCATTCCGAGCAGCAGCATGAAGGCCGCTCCATATTGAATAACACGCCTGCTTCCAACCTGCAGCACAAGAAAAACAGAACACTTTAAAGATATTTCAACAGGAGTTATGCTGCTGCTGCTGCAAATCTGAGTCCATCCCCCCCCCCATTAAAGGATTTTAAAATCTTGCTTTGATGTTACAGGATATCTGAAACACTGAAAAAAATTCTGCTGGATTTAAATGGCTACAATTTTATTCTATTGATCTCTTGCTGCCACATTGAAAACTTTGATGATGGCTATCATTTTCATGCAGTAAACCCTTCAGTAGGGAGAGATGCTAAGTGATACAAACACTTAAAGATGCAAATGGGTGTTCTGAATCTGTGCAGAAGCAAGGATGTAATGCCCCAATACGTTCCTGCATTCTCTGTGTGCTCTCTTCTTTAGGGAGGTGAGGGGAATGGGTGCTTGAATACGGTTTGTCACTTTGTACCCAGTCACTACTCATGATATTTCTGCAATTTTATTATTACTCTCATAGTGATTACAAAATACTGGTAATTCTAAAATAAAATTAAAAAGTTGCTTTGGCTGTTTGCAAAATGTAAAACTACTTAACTTCCCTGCCCACAACAAGAACTGATGGTTTACAATTATTTCCCCGAATAATTCATAAGAAAGAAACAGGAAGCAATCAATTAAGCTGGCAGGAGAATGGAAATTTAGGAGGACACAAGCCCTAAGAAACCTCAGTGGCACTTTCACTGTCTACACAAGAAAGCCTGGTGCTGGAACTAGTTTTTAAGTTAAAAAATTATAACAGCTAGGTCGAGAGAGAGAGAGAGACGGAGAGAGAAACAGACAGACAAACACAGAAAGCATAAGAAAGCAACATGCTGCCAACATCGTCCTCTGCTTATGTATTAAAACTTATTAAAAAAAAGAATGGGATTCCCAGACTAATGTGGAACCATCCTTATTTTAAAAAGGCAGTACTTATGGCCATATTTATCGTGTGATTGTTTGATTGGACGAAACTGCAGATGAGCTATCACCAAATTCTGTTATCATGTGATCCCAGTATCCCTGAATGGAAAGCAAGGTGATGCAGAGATCATACTGCATCCACTTCATAATACCATCTTAACCGGCATTTCAATTCAAAAGATTATTCTGGTAGAGTTATGTAAGAGAATGTAAATAAAGCACAGACATTTCCACTGCTTGAGGCTACGCTCTCTGAAGAGCATAACTCAATAACAGCGTGCTTTACTCCAAACAAGCAGTCTCAGGAGGACAGATGCATTCCTCAAAAAGCTTTTGTGCAGCAGTTTCGCACACTAGCGTCAGAGTGTATGTGATAATCATGTTTCATTTGAAGTGTCATCTTCTTCTAGCAGGGCAAGGTCTCTTTCACTGCTTAACTGTTTCAGAGGGTAACTGTGCTGGTCTGCACTGGAACATCTAAATTCAAGTCCAGTAGCACCTTTACAGACCAACAAGTTTTTCAGGGTACAATCTTCTGAGCGTTAAAGCTCCCTTCGTCAGATCTGAAAAAAAGACAGCTTATACCCTGAAAAGCTTGTTGGTCTCTAAGGTGCTACTGGACTCAAACCTAGCAGCTTAATTGTTTTTACTTCTGTTTCTTTGGCAGGGAAATATCAATTACAATGAGTGACTGGAGTGGAGCACACACAGTAAGGCAGATGGTTTTCAAATAGGTATTTTCTAAAACAGCTTTTATTTTCTATATTGTTACAATACCATGATTGGACATTTTTCTCCAACAAGGTCTGTAGATGTCCATATGGCATCTGGCTTTGTGAGAAAAAGCACTCAGGAGAGCCAATGCTAGACTATTCGGCCTTCTCTTAAGACATCATTTCATCTACTACTAAGTCCTAGGATCCTCAGGTCTCTTATGATCACTGGAGCAATAATGAGATTTTATTACACCAGAGGTGGTTTTCTTATAGACCCGGCACTGAAGCTTTTTGTATGTAAAGTTATCTCCCACTTACTATATGGAATTGAAGTTTGGGGCTGGAAAGATCCAATACTGAATACTCTAGAAACTGTTCAAAATTCCTTTCTGAGACATATTTTAGCATTGCCAGTTAAGGCTCATGCGCATTTTACAATCTTAAAATGATGGAAGGAAAACCAATTGTCTAACACTGGCTCACTTTGTAATTCCAGCTTTCATATTCTGTTAGGCAGGGATAAGGCTCATTTTGATTTCCTTTCCAGTATTATCACTCGTTATACCATCCCCAGTGATTTGCTCCAGCTACAGGGGAATAATTTGGACTTACAGGAATGGGCATTTAAAGGGGATTCCATAACTAATAATTCTACTATTTTCCATCAGTAGTTTACCCCATGGTAAAAAACTATAATGAAAGATCATTCCAGAGCTTCCTACTTGGTCAATTTAACAGCTCATAACTTAAGAATAGCATTTACAGCGTTGTGCTTCCAAACTATATGCTTCCAAACCATGTCAACTGAGTTACTAAAAGGTCACTATGCTAACATGCTAATTGACTCAGTGGAAGATCTGCCACAGTATATTTTGTCCTGCCTTCTGTATTCGGGTCCTAGGAATAATTTCCTGGCTAAGATTCTGCTTGAGCTACAGTTTTCCTCAGATTCTAAAAAACTAGCTTTTATGCTCTCTGATGTGGAGCCTTCTGTTTCTTACTGACTGGCTCTTTTGCCCTAGCAGCCAGAAAGATCAGAGCAAATAGTGCCTTTTAGAATGTCCCTAACTGAATTATTCTTATTGTATTGAGCTGCATACTGTAGATGTCCATATAGCATCTGGCAGACCTTACCCTAGAACATCTATTAATCTTGTTTTTTTCTTTGAATATGTTTTAATTGTGAACCAATTAGAAAAGCAGAATGTCAAAAAATAATCTTATGTAGCAAAAATCATATGTATATTGCCTCACATAAGGTAGCTGTGCCACTTCAGCCACTTTAAAAGGCATCTTAAAATACAGAAAATATTTGTCTGCTTGACATCACTATGTATTTGCCACCACTTCCTTTTCTCTTTCATCTTTTCTTTCTTAAAATGATCAAAAGAGATGCATCCAGCAGATGGCAGTGTTTATACTTTCAAACATTATGATGCCTTGATGGAACAAAAGCAGCCAAGGGCCAAATAATACATGATGGCAACGGCCCCATGCCTTTTAATAAAGGCATGCCCGGACAATGTTCAGAGCTGGGTGGTGATGCAGAGAAAGTGCACAGATGGGAGATACTGAACTCGCCCCACCTAGCCCACTGCTCTCCCCTGTGATCCATCTCCAGCACTTCAATACTGGATGTGAGCCTGGCCGGGGGTGGGGGGGAGGTTTCTGGGAACAAGGAGGAGGGAATTAGTTCTCCTCACCAGCCCCATCATTTGTGCACATGCCTATGCTTTAGAATTGTATACACACCTGTACTCTTAATATACAATCAGGACAGGCCCAAATTGAACACACAGGCTTTCCATCATCACAGGCTGTTTAGCCTCAAGACATTCAGAGATATTCCACAGCCAAAAGAAAGAGCTTCTTCTTATACAGATTTTGACAACTGATGCCAGAAAGATAGAATCATAATTTTGGACTCTGCTTAATTGACGGAAATTCAGTAAAAAAGGAATACAATTACAGATTTACAATGCAATCCTAAACAGAGTTACATCCTTCTAAGTGCATTTAGTTCAATGGACTTAGGAGGGTGTCATCTGTTTAAAATTGCACTGCCAACTTCTGAAAAAAATTGAAGAGTTTCCCCTTATTATACTGTTCTTATTTCATTGTCCCCTAATTTTGCATTGTGGTTTTATTGCACCATTTGCTTTATGTATTCTGCTGGTTTCTATTGCATTGTTTTCTAATTCTATAATGTGCCTTGAGCCTCAGTGAGGAATAAATGAATCAAAAAATGAATCTCATCTATATTCAGAATTGATCATGGCAAGCAGTATTCCTATTCCATCTTCAACCATGAACTAAATGGGTGAAATAACTCATCCTTTTGCTGATTTTCAACTCCTGACTGCAAGAAGAAGGGGTAATTTATTTGCATTAAGGGAGCTGAAGTATAGGGGTGACCAATCCCACCCACCCCCTTTTCAATTTGGGTATACTGAATCGGGAAAAAAAAATCAGGTTTCCCGAAAAATCCTGGATACCAACACCAGTATGCTAATCTGATTTGGGATTTTTTGGAGATGCCGAATTTTTGGGCATCCAATAGAACCGAGAAGGAAAAAACCAACAAACAAATGCTCACCAGAAGCTGTGCCCGTGAGGAGCAATCTGCTCCCCGTGGGCACAGCTGATCCTTGGCTGACTTCTTTTGCAGTTCAATTTAAACTGAGCTGCAAGAGGATCCAGCCCCAATCAAGGCAGTGTGGAGCTCTCAGCTTCTGCCACCCCAGCCAATCCTGGGATGACTTCTCTTGCACCTCAGTTTAAACCAAGCTGCCAGAGGAGCCAGCCCCAGCTGAGGCAGCTCAGAACTCTCAGCTCCCTCCACCCCAGCCGATCCTGGGCTGACTTCTCTTGCAGATCGGTTTAAAATGGGCTGCAGGAGAAGCCAGCCAGCTATAAGCAGAGCCAGCAGGGGCTATCTTCTGCAGCCTCTTTTAAAGTTTAAAGGGACTGCAGAAGCCCAATAAACAGCCGAGACATGGAAGCAAGCTGTTCCTGCCTCTTGCTGTTTTCGGATCTACTGGTAATTCCCAAATATATCTAGAATTTTTTCTTTGGCTTTCCCGAGAAAACTTGGATACATTTGGGATGCCGAAATACAAAAAAACCCAACAACAATAAGGTACCTTTCAGGTATATTTTTGGCTCAGGTACTGAAGTGTGCAACCTGTACACTAAACTTGATCTCCAGATGGTTATCTTCAATTTGAACATGTTTCTAACAATTCAAAGTGATCGGAGCCATGCCTTTTCTGTACAATTCTAAATTCTTGAACAAGTCCCCCAGTCTTCATTAAGTGTTTATAGGTGAAACTTCCAATATGATTTATCCAATGGACAAAGAGGAATGCTAAGAGGAATACACCCAGTACCTTTGTAATCCCCAAGACTCCAATATTAGGACTAGAAGAAGTGGATCCATTTCCAGTACCAAATATTCCATCCAATACACAAGAAAGGCCTTCTATGAAAATGCCTCTGCAATTAAAAAAAAAAAATGAGATGAAGATATGTAAAGTCAGAATGCAGGTACCACCAGCCAGGTACTCACGCTGGACTGAGCAGCAACTGTAATATTGGCTGAATGTTCAGCTGCTGAAATAAGGGGAGGTATCAAATCTTTCCATAACTCAGAATAAACCAAATAAAGCAAAGGGATCTTTAAAACGTTATGCCAAACAGACAATTAAAAAAAGCCACACCCATCCACTTGCAGTAAAAAAAGATCAAGTCAAGCAACCAAGTAAAACTGTACCTTTTTATATTAAAAAGCAAACCATGCCCTTCTCTTGGTCCTTGTGCCTCCCACTAATCCAATCTATTGTAACTTTCTACATCTCCTGCCATTTCCTTTGGTGTAGTACAATGTAAGGAAACTTAAACACACATTCCTTTTTTGGAGCGTGGCACCACCTGGTGGGAGGGGAACATCACAGCCATGCCCCTCCACTGAAAAGCAGACCAAGTCAGTGTAGCACTGCACATACACTAACGTGGTCTGCTTTTCTATGGAGGAGCAGGGCTATTTTTGGGCAGGAACGCACAGGAACGGAGTTCCGGCTGGCTCCCAAGTTGGCCACGCCTGGCAGGAACTCAGTAGCATAATAGACCACACCCAACAGCAGAAACTCATTAGGACTGGCTACATTAGGGGTGTGTGGCCTAACATGCAAAGGAGTTCCTGCTCCAAAAAAAGCCCTGGGTTTTGACAACAAACAACGTAAACAGAATAAGAAGCAAAAGGTGGGTGTGGCTGGATGACCACACTTCTGATAACATGGGGATGTGGCCTAATATGCTAATAAGCTGTGCTGTCAGGGGTGTGGCCTAATATGCTACTGAGTTCCTGCTGTTGGGTATGGCCTATTATGCTAATGAGTTCCTGCTGGGATTTTTCTACAAAAAAAGCCCTGTGGAGGAGCATGACTAAGATGTTCCCTGGCCAACAACCACTTACATTGCAGGAGCTCATGGTGAATTCTACCAATCCTTTCAGGGTATTAACCCCAGCAGGGGCCAAGAGGCTTGCCTAGGATATACTCTTGCTTTAGGTGTGTATGGGGGGGGGGGTCTTATTCAGTTCAGACTCAGCCTTCATCACACACCCCCAAAAGCCATCTGCTCCTTCAGGCTTTATCTTGCCAATCTTAACTGTAACATCCACTTTTAAAAAAGCAACAGCTGGCTGAGTGGTATTTCCAACATTGCAACAACAGAGCATAGAAATGTATTTTGCAAGATATTCCAGAGTCCAAGAAAATTAGTTGGAATGTGCAGAAGTTAAAAAAAAAAATCCCCAAACAAACATAGCTCTATAACTAGTAGTGATTAATATCAAAAGACGTAATAGGGCTCAGGCCTGAGGAGAAAATCCATCACCTGCCCTAGATGCCTTGCCCTACACAGCAGTTGTGTAAGGCTTCTGTGGTCTGAGTCACAAATACATCCTAACGTCATGATTACTCAAGACTTTATGACTAGCAGATACAAGTGTGAACCACTTCCAGAGGAAAAAATATGCTTGAGGTGATGCAAAATGAAATAAAAGCCGTTTGTGCTATCTGATCTGTGATGCTGCTACATTAAGGTATAAACACCTGTAGTTGTAAAAAGAAAACCCCAAAATGATCACAGAATTCTGTGTAATCCTTTCAGAAAATCAGATAGAAATACCAGTACCTACTTTTGCTCCCACAGAACAGATAGGGCACAGTTTTTTTAAAAAAGTCTTTCTCAGAAAACTTACCTATTTATTGCGTGAATTGGTGGTGGAGGAGCACAAGATAACCTTGCACAGGCATAGTAATCACCAATTGATTCAATGATGCTAGCAACCACCGCACTGAGCATCCCAATGACGCCCGCAGCTGAAATTGTAGGCAATCCCCACTGAACTGTAAAGCAAAAACCATGAAATCTCTCTTGGTGTTTTATCTCCTAAGATATCAAGAACCTCTTAAGGTGAGGGAGGGCTAACCTCTGTATTCCAGGGTGTCACTCTGTCCTCTAGACACACAAAAAACGGACTTATTCCATAGTGTTCTGGCTGCACTATCAAGTGGGTGTCACATAACAATAAGGGAAGGAGGAGGAGGAGATGGAGATTGAATTTATACCCCGCTTTTCACTTGGAGTCTCAGAGTGGCTTACAAACTCCTTTCCCTTCCCCTCCCCCTCCCCACAACAGACACCCTGTGAGGTAGGTGGGGCTGAGAGAGTTCTTTCCAGAACTGTCCTTGAGAGAACAGCTCTGACAGAACTATGGCTTGCCCAAGGTCATCCAGCAGCTGCAAGTGGAGGAGTGGGGAATTAAACCCGGTTCACCCAGATTAGAGTCCGCGCACTTAACCACTACACCAAACACTTAAGAATCACATGCAAACAGCTAAATGTTCATATTATGTATAAAATAAAAAATATGCAGACACATATGTATCTATATATTAGCAAATGCAATCTTTTCTCCTTCTCTTATTGAACTATAATAAAAACTCCCCCCCCCCATACCTTTATTTATATTTAGTAGGCTCACCAGAGACCAGATAACATTCTTGAGAACTGGACCTGCTGGTTGTCCCCATCTAAGACTTTATAAATATTCCTAGGCTACTATCAGCCTCCAATAAACAAAGTATTCAAAGAAGAAGGGTACTTGCATTATCAAAAGTACCTTCAGCTTAACCTACACAACTGGCCAATCCAACCCAACACTGTTGACCCTTAACATTGGCTGCATAATTGGATATTGCAGTGTATCAGTCATTCACAACCGGATTGGCTTGTCGGCACCACGAAATCCAATCATAAATTATTGCTATAGCACAGTGATACTGCAATATCCAATGATGTGTTAAAGCAGCTTGGCAGTGGCTCTTAAGGGTTTCATGAAAGGACTTTTGCCCAGCTTGCCTGTGACCCTTTAGAAGGAGAAGCTGGAACTAATTATATTTTACCTACATGCAAAGCATACACTCCACCACTGGGCTACGAGCCCTCTCCACTTAAAAGGTAACTGGCATGTATGTATTAAATCAGCTTAAAGCCAAGGACCTAAACTTTAAACTGGTTTGCGATGCGGCTGAGCAAAGTTTAACTCAATTTTCAGTTCCAGAAAATAGTGAGAAGGATTGCAGAATCCAGCTCCAAACACTCACTTCTACAAGTACATGCCAATTAGCTAGTATTTTTTTTAATTGTATTAATGCAAGGCACACAAAAGGAGAAACCAGTAAAGCTGGAGTAAGCGTAACAGAAGCAAAGTGGTTACAGAAAGACAGCACCTTCTATACTGTTTTGGGGAGAAAAGTTTGCTAAACATACTTACATGGATAGGGAACCTTGAACCATGGTGCTACTAAGAGTACTCCTTGCCTGGCATCAGTGCGTGCATAAAATCCATACTTTGTGCTGTCAGGAGGAAAGACGTCTGTCACAGTGAAGATGAAACACAGCAGCCACGATACAAGAATAGCAAGAATGATCTGTGATTGGGGACAGAACAACTTGACACACTGTTGCAAGGAAATACCGAAAGTTCATGAGCTTAAAGGAACACAGTATCAACATTTCAGAAGAAATTTCAGCTGGAGAGGTATTGCCATTGATCCTTTTAATATAAAAGCTAAGCATTACACACACTCATCAACTCAAAAAGAAAAACCAATGGATCTCAGGAGCCAAACAAGAAAATAAGAGAATGGATTCTTGGAGTATGCTGCAGAAGAGTCTGCAGAACTTCTAAGCAGGTACCTTGTGTAGACTATGGGGAGTGGGGTGGATTTAATCACCATCAGCAACCCTAATAGGTAGATCCGTTTTACCCATTTAAGCCACTTAACAAGTAGTCATTACTGTATCTCAAAGCAACAAACTCCCAAATTAAATTATGCAGTGAGGAAATACTTAATTTTGTTTCAAATTTTGTTTCAAATTTACTACCACTTTTTTTTAACGATCCCCAGTTTGTGATTTGAGGTTTAAACTAAAGAAAGTTGGGGAAACCACTAGGTCATTCAGGTTTGACCTACATCACATCCCTGATGAATATACAGTGGAGGTGAAGAATAGGTTTAAGGGACTAGATTTGATAGATGGAGTGCCTGAAGAACTATGGACGGAGGTTCGAAGAAGGGGACGGCAAAGGATGAGATGGTTAGACAGTGTTATTGATGCAACAAACATGAAATTAAGCAAACTCTGGAGCATGACGGAAGACAGGAGGGCCTGGCATGATGTGGTCCATGGGGTTGCGAAGAGTCAGACTAAATTGTGCGACTGAACAACAACAACAAACATTTTATAAACTAACACCATATGCCTCTGCTGTTTTGGGTCCCAATTTGGGACAAGCAGGGTGTAAATTAAGTAAATAAATCAATAAACAGTTGAATCCCATTCCCCAATAATTACTAAAATTGTTAAGTGCCATCACATTGCTTCCTACTTATGGCAACCCTATGAATTAATAACCTCCAAAACATCCTATCATTAACAGCCTTGCTCAGTTCTTGCAAACTGTGGGCTATGGCTTCATTTACTGAGTCAGTCTATCACATGTTCGGTCTTCCTCTTTTTCTGTTGCCTTCAACATTATTTTTTTCCCCAGTGAGCCTTCTCTTCTCATAATGTGACCAAAATATGATAGCCTCAGCTTAGTCATTTTAGCTTCTAAGGAGCATTCAGGCTTGATTTGTTCTAGAACCTACTTATTTGTCTTTTTGGCAGTCCATGGTATCTGTAAAATTGTCCTCCAACACCACATTTCAAATGAATCAACCATCTTCCTGTCTTCATTGTCCAACTTTCACACCCATACAGGAATACTATAGTATGAATTATCTTCATCTTGGTCCCAGTAACACATCCTTATACTTAAGGATCTTTCCTAACTTCTTCATGGCTGCCCTTCCCAGTCTGAATCTCCTTCTGATTTCTTGGTTGCATTCTCCCTTTTGGTTGGTGATAGAGTCATGGAATAGAAAATATTTAACAATTTCAATTGCTTTTGTCTTCTTGATGTTCAGCTGTAATTTGGCATGTTCTGCTTTAACCTTCATCAGGAGTAATTTCAAGTCTTCACTATTTTCTGCCAGTAATGTGGTGTCATCTGCATATCTCAAATTGCTAATGTTCCTTCCACCAGTTTTCACTCCACCTTCATATGAATCTAATCCAGCTTTCCACATGATATGATCCAGCTTTCCTTATGATATGGATAAGGAGCTAAAATAGATCCTTGCCAATTCTGTTTCTCCATCTTCTGTCCTAACAGAAAGCCCCTTGTCCAGAGTATAGGTTGAGCATTAAAACAATCAGATGTTGTGGCATGGCCATTTTTTAAAAAAACAACCATAGCTTTTCATGAACCACACAGTCAACAACTTTGCTGTAATCTTCCATTTCTGAATCCAGCTTGAACATCTGGCATTTCTCATTCCATATATGATAACAGTCTGTGTTGTAAGATTTCGAGCACCGTTTTAGTTGCATGAGAAATTAGTCTTTAAACTCTTCAGGAATATTGTTTAGATTGTATTTTGGTATTATGAATGTTCTGATTTTTTGTTAGCTTTATTCTAATTTTCAATATAAACCTTTATTGATCTGTACCACAATCAGTTTCCGGTCTGGTTTTAGCAGAGAATAGAGCTTCTCCATCTTCTGCTTCCAATTATGTAATCTATTTGATTTCTGTACTGCCCATCCAGTGATGTCCACATATATATAATCATCAGTTCTGTTGCTTGAAACATGTGTTCACAATGAACCATCCCTGGGCAGGGTGGGAGGGGGGCTCTTGGTAGTTGGTGATTCGATCCTTAGGCAGGTAGACAGCTGGGTGGCGAACACGCATACTGACCGTATGGTGACTTGCCTGCCTGGTGCAAAGGTAGCGGACATTACGCGTGTTTTAGATAGGCTGGTAGATAGTGCTGGGGAGGAGCCAGTGGTCATGGTGCATGTCGGCACCAACGATGTAGGAAAATGCAGTCGTGAGGTCCTGGAGGAGAAATTTAGGCTGCTGGGCAGGAAACTTAGGTCCAGGACCTCCAAGGTAGCTTTCTCAGAAATGCTACCTGTTCCACACGCAGGGCTGGAGAGACAGGCACAGATCAGGAGTCTCAATGCGTGGATGAGACGATGGTGTAGAGGGGAAGGTTTCAAGTTTGTTAGGCACTGGGATGCTTTTTGGACCAAGAGGGAGCTGTACAGGCGAGACGGTCTCCACTTGTCCCGAGAAGGAACCAGGCTGCTGGCGCTTAAAATCAAAAAGGTGGCAGAGCAATTTTTAAACTGAAGATTGGGGGAAAGCCGACAGGAGATGAAAAGTCTCTGGTTCGGGTTGGCTCATCTCAAAGAGATGAGGGGGTACCTGTTGCTTTTCTACAGGGAGGTGGATTGAAATTGTCCAGAGACCATGGCTAGTGACATGGACTGCCTGACAAGGTCTCGAGATAGCAAGAGGAAGGTTGCAGGCTTAACTTGTATGGGAAATTATAGCTGTTTCTATACAAATGCTAGAAGTGTCCGAGGTAAAATCGGGGAGTTGGAGTGCTTGGTGTTGGAGGGAAAAATAGACATTGTGGGTATTTCAGAAACTTGGTGGGATGAGGAAAATCAGTGGGATACGGTGATTCCCGGTTATATATTATATCGGAAGGATAGGGGGGGAAGGGTTGGAGGTGGGGTGGCTCTGTATGTCAGAGAGGGTATAAAGTCCAGAAAGATCGAGAGGCTAAGAGAATTGGATTCGCTTCTTGAAGTTCTGTGGGTTGAAATAGGGGGGCCAAAAGGAAACTTAACACTGGGAGTTTGTTATCGCCCACCGGATCAAAAGATAGAGGAGGATTATAAAATGATGAATGAATTAAAGATAGCAGCTAGACAAAAACACTGTGTCGTAATAGGTGATTTTAACTACCCACACATTGATTGGGTCAATATGTGTTCTAGTCGAGAGAAAGAGATTGAGTTTCTAGACACTCTAAATGACTGTGCTATGGAGCAGATGGTCATGGAACCTACCAGGGGAGAGGCGATCCTTGATTTGGTCCTAAGTAACACTCAAGACCTGGTGAGAGATGTAAAAGTGATTGCACCGCTTGGGAACAGTGATCATAATGTTGTTGAGTTCAACATTTGTACAAATAGGGAATTGGCCAAAAAGACTCACACAACCACTTTTAACTTTAAAAGGGGTAATTTTTCTGATATGAGGGGACATGTGGGGAGGAAACTGAAGGGAAAAGTAGAAAGGGTCAAAACCATTGGGGAAGCTTGGAAACTGTTTAAAACTACAATTCTAGAAGCTCAAATAAAATATATTCCGCAGGTTAGGAAAGGCACAAACAGGTATAAGAAAAAGCCTACATGGTTAACAAACAAAGTAATGGAAGCTGTAAAAGGTAAAAAGGATTCCTTTAAGCGGTGGAAAGCTAGTCACAGTGAGGCTGATAAAACAGAACACAGGCTATGGCAAATAAAATGCAAGTCTGTGGTCAGGCATGCAAAAAGGGAATATGAGGAGCATATAGCAAAAAATGTAAAGACCAACAATAAAACTTTCTTCAAATACATTAGAAACAGGAAACCAGCCAGGGAGGCAGTGGGGCCCTTGGATGACCAAGGGGTAAAAGGAGTACTGAAGGATGATAGGGAAATGGCTGAGAAGCTAAATGCATTTTTTGCCTCCGTCTTCACTGTGGAAGATGAGAGGTGCTTGCCCACTCCAGAGCCGCTGAGTTCGGGAGGGGTGTTGAAAGACCTGAGTCAGATTGAGGTGACGAGAGAGGAGGTCCTAAAACTGATAAACAACTTAAAAACTGATAAATCACCAGGCCCAGATGGCATACATCCAAGAGTTCTGAAAGAACTCAATTGTGAACTTGTGGATCTCCTGACAAAAATATGTAATCTCTCCTTAAAATCAGCCTCCATTCCTGAGGACTGGAAGGTAGCTAATGTCACTCCCATCTTTAAAAAGGGTTCCAGAGGAGATCCGGGAAATTACAGGCCTGTCAGTCTGACGTCGATACCGGGTAAATTGGTGGAAACCATTATTAAGGAAAGAATTAGTAGGCACATAGATGAACAAAACCTATTGAGGCAGACTCAACATGGGTTCTGTAAGGGAAGATCTTGTCTCACTAACCTGTTAATGTTCTTTGAGGGGGTGAACAAACATGTGGACAAGGGGGATCCAATAGATATTGTTTACCTTGACTTCCAGAAAGCTTTTGATAAAGTTCCTCATCAAAGGCTCCTAAGCAAGCTCAAAAATCATGGGATAAAAGGACAAGTCCTTTTATGGATCAAAAACTGGCTAATTAATAGAAAACAGAGAGTGAGTATAAATGGGCAGTTCTCCCAGTGGAGGGGTGTAAGCAGTGGGGTACCACAGGGATCAGTACTTGGTCCACTGCTTTTTAACTTGTTCATTAATGATTTGGAGTTGGGAGTAAGCAGTGAAGTGGCTAAATTTGCGGATGATACGAAGTTGTTCAGGGTGGTGAAAACCAGTGAGGATTGTGAGGCACTCCAAAGGGATCTGTCAAAGTTGGGCGAGTGGGCGTCAACATGGCAAATGGGGTTCAATGTGGCCAAGTGCAAGGTGATGCACATTGGAGCCAAAAATCCTAACTATAAATACACGTTGATGGGGTCTGAACTGGCAGAGACAGATCAAGAGAGAGATCTTGGAGTTGTAGTAGATAACTCACTGAAAATGTCGAGACAGTGTGTGACTGCAATAAAGAAGGCCAATGCTATGCTGGGGATTATTAGGAAGGGTATTGTAAACAGATCAGCCAATATCATAATGCCGCTATATAAATCAATGGTGCGACCTCATCTGGAATACTGTGTGCAATTCTGGTCACCACACCTTAAAAAGGATATTATAGCTTTGGAAAAAGTGCAGAAAAGAGCAACTCGAATGATAAAAGGGTTGGAACACTTTCCCTATGAGGAACGGTTAAGGCGCTTAGGGCTCTTTAGCTTGGAGAAACGACGACTGAGGGGTGACATGATTGAGGTTTATAAGATTATGCATGGGAAAGAGCAGGTAGAGAAAGAGGTACTTTTCTCCCTTTCTCACAATACAAGAACCCTTCTTGGTGCTTGGGGGGGTCAACAGTGGGAGGGCTTCTAATGTCCTGGCCCCACTGTTGGACCTCCTGATGGCACTGGTTTTCTGGCCACTGTGTGATACAGAGTGTTGGACTGGATGGGCCTTTGGCCTGATCCAACACTGGCGTCTCTTATGTTCTTATGTTAATGAACAGCTTGTCTTTCTACAAGTCACTCTCCAGCTTCATTTTATGCTCCTAGCCCAAATCTTTTGACAACATTTGATTCTACTTTGCTTCCTGCTTTTGCATTCCAGTCACCTATCATTATCAGCACATCTTATTTAGGTCTGCGATCAATTTCTTCCTGGACACTTGCATTAAAGCTTTCATATTTTTTCCTCTTCAGCATTTATCCCTTTTATTACATTAGTTACAGTAATTAAATTAATTAGTAAAAGAACATTTGGTTTTTCCCAGAGGGTCAGCACAAGACTCACCAACTTTGCTTCAAATTATTTGCAAAAAGGTACACACCCTAAAACGATTCAAGTGGTTGAAATTTCTTGGGTTACAACACAAACAAAAACACAACCAAGAAGTAGAAGTTAATATTCAGACCTCAGAGCTCACCCATGGTTTTGTTCACAGAATTAATTTGGGGATGCAGTTGTATATTCAAAATCAATTACAGCCTTTGAATTTGTACAACAAAAAACTAGGAAGCTTTCACTTGGATAATAACAACAAGAGAAGAAAAGCATAAGAGCAGCACCAAAACTGAACAGGAAAACTTAAGTAAGTACTTACGGGAAACATTTTAAAAAGTTGCAACCGATATGCAGTCCATCCTTTCTTAGATTTGTAAATTGGTAATGGGAATTTGACATTTCGGGCATACTGAGAAAACAACAGCACTAGGAAAATAGTCCTGAGAAAGAAGAGAGAGAATCTGTAAATTGGTAATGGGAATTTGACATTTCAGGCATACTGAGAAAACAGCAGCACTAGGAAAATAGTCCTAAGGAAGAAGAGAGAGAAATAACTGATTAAGATTAACCACTAACAGAACAAGTACAAGTTAACCTAGCAAATACATTTGCACAGTCTATACTGAAGCATACCTGTAAATGTAATCACACAGAAACAACAATTCCAGCCAAATCACATAGCACAAAAACACCTTACAAAAATCATAGCATATTTGAAAATGTTTATGCATCTAGAGTGTATCATGCCAAAGTGGGATCAAAAGGGAAAGCAATACAGATAATATACAGGACATACTCTAAAACCTGAGAACACAGCAATGAAGATAACTTATTTTATTTATTTAATTCATTTGTGCCTCACCTTTCTCCCCAATGGGAACCCAAAGTGGCTGACATCATTCTCCTCTCCTCCATTTTATTCTCAGAGCAACCCTGTGAGGTAGGTTAGGACCAAGGTCACCCAGTAAGCTTCCATGGCATGAGTGGGGATTTGAACCAGGGTCTTTCAGATACTAGTCCAGCATTCTTAACCACTACATGACACATGACACACTCTTACGCCACATTATGGGAATTAGGGGACTATAATGCTTTTTGTGCAAGGCCAGGCAGGGTTAAACGCATCATTATGTCTGAAAATGGGGGGGGGGAATCCCCTCAGAGTAGACTGGATTTTACCCACAGGTATTTTTTGCCTTCCATGGTAATTCTAAGTAGTTTGACTTGCCTTCTTGAGCCAGGCAGATATACTCTGTTGGAGGTGCAACTTGGGTACAGCCAGGGCTTTTTTTGTAGAAAAAGCCCAGCAGGAACTCATTAGCATAACAGGCCACACCCGACAGCAGAAACGTATTGGCATATTAGGCCACACCCCTGACAGTGCAGCACATTAGCGTATTAGGCCACACCCCCATGCCTTCCCTTGATTTGCCCAGGTAAGCCAGCCCTTGGACAAGCCGGGGAAGGATCGGGGAGGCATTTAAATGCCTCCCCGATCCTTCCAGGGCCCCCCCCCCGGCCCGCCTGCCTCGGAGTAACCGGTGGTGGGTCGCTCTCCAGGCCTTCCCTCCGTAGCCACGCACGCAGAGGTTTTGGCTGTAGTGGGCATGGCCAACTCTAAAGCCAGCGGGAACTCCATTCCTGTGCGTTCCTGCCCAAAAATAGCCCTGGGTACAGCTCTGTAATATGAGAATGTTCAAGCTAATCCAGCACATATTCTATGTAATTTTTTACTTAAGCAGAAGAGACAATAGCAGTGCCATCCTAAGTAGAGTTACACCCTTCTAAATCCACTGAAGTCAACAAGCTTAGAACTCTGATTACGACTGCACTGTAGATTTAATTGGCTAAAACTATCATTAACCTAAATGAAACACAACCATCATCTCCAGTTCCTTTAAAACGTGGATTTGCACATGATCAGAGATGACAAGACTCACTGGCAAAGCAATAATGCTAGGAAAAGAGAACAACCCAACGTGAGATGGATATACTTGATAAAGAAAGCCACAGCCTTCAGTTTACAAGACCTGAGCAAGGCTATTAATGACAGGACAGTTGGGAGGTCATGAATTTATATGGTTGCGATAAACTGGAATCCACTTGACAGCGTGTGACACACACAATGAAACTGAAGGGTGGATCCCCTGAATAGCAAAGGTGTATCTTTGCCTTTGCTGTCATCTCAGGCAGAGTAAACAATACTATGATCACTATCTGAATACAAAGGGTGGGGAGAAGACCTATTCTGTCTCTGCTAACAGAGATTATAGTGGCTTCTCTCCCTGTACCAGCCTGATATATTGGAACTCCTGGTTTAATATCCAAGGGAAAAGCCTCAGGTAGCAAACCCAACATGAGTTAGGTTCTGAATAAGAAAACTTGTTATTTGGAAAAAATGTGGGAGAGAAAGGACTGTAATAAATCAATTCAATACATAAGCAATAAATCCTAAATAAAAACCTCTTTAAATAAGCCCAGGACTTCAGTTCATGTAGACAAATCATTGGAGAACACTAACTAAACATCTATGAGCCATTACACATATTTGAACTTTCAATCCTGGAACAAGAGGATATCTTTGGCATTCATCATGAAGACAGCTCTGAGAAAAGCTAATCCATCAAGAACACAGCCTTGACGTCCTAAATAAAATTTCCTGAAATTCTAGGAGGGCAGGTTACAGAAAGCAAAGCTCCTTCCTGTTCAAGACCACCATTAATCCAAAGAAAACACGCCAAGACTTTTGTTCCCTTTCAGACACAAAGATTTGTTCACCACATGATGCCATGACCCTTATGTTAAATATGGATAAATAAAAGGGGGAATTTGCACAAAAAAGAAATTTAAATCTCTTTCAAAAACGTACAATAGTCTTAAAATACGGTTTCTATTGGAGAACATCTGACCTAGTGCTGTGCCAAATACAAGGTTCAGTTTTCAGTGTAAAATTGAACCCATGCTGGACAGGAGAGGCAATGAGACAGAGGAGAGGAAGCCTGCCAAAACTTTACCTTCTCTTCTTTCATGCCAGCTTGCAGCCATTGTTTCCTCAATTGGCTGATGCATCTTAGTCATTATTTTGTTTTATACTTGGTTTCTTCACATTATTACAGCCAATCAAAGATCAAAATCTGGGCATGAGAGCCACAGGGGCCATGTACCCAATCTGATCTGGCTAAAAAATGTCATCTCTGAGGGAGAACAAATCCCTCACAGTGCCCTTGTGGGCAGGGAATGATGCACCCCCTTTGCTATGGCAACTCGGTTGATGCTCCCTCACCCTTATCTAGTCAAGTTGACACGTTGCAAGCATTAAATGGTTATGGATGAGTATCTATCAAAGCGATTAGACCATGGCAAGGAAGCACTGGACTAACTGCCATGGTAAGAACATGTTCTCCCTTCCAGCTGCATTTAAATGATGAAATGAATCATTTTATAAACCATGGTGCAGTCCATTCTCCCCTTTCAGCATTCTATGCCTCATTCTCCTGCATGTGTTAACCATCTCCCTGATAGCACAGATCAACTCAGCCTCAGAGCTATTCAACAACCCCCCCTCCCCACAGCATCCTCCCTGAGCCCCTGTAAAACCTACCCACATGAGACTGCGCACTCTCGCCTACAATCTGCAAATACAAACTGCAATGCAAACAGCAAATCAAAGACAAATTTCATATTCATCTATTATGCCTATCTTGACAGGAACACTGTCCTCCCCCTGTCATGGTCCAACTAACACACTCACACAGTGTTTCTCTGGTAATCACACTCCTAATTCACACAAGCAAGTCCCATGTAAAATGGAATGTCTCCCAGTTCATGTGGTCAGCCCTAGTGAAGCAGATTAAAGGCTTGGCTTTTGCTCACCTGCCAAGCCAGCCAGCCTCACCTAGGCAGCAGAGAGGCTGGGTGGGGGAATACATGTGGTTTGTGGGTGGAGGACATCCTTGAATTTTGCCAAGAGTCCCAGAATCACTAAGACCACCCCTGATTGTGCAGGCAGGTTTATGCTCTGAGCAAAATGTCCTAAGATTGTACTAAATGGTTCAGAGACAAAAAACAATGGACCTTTGAAACTATAAAAAGTCAGGAGTCTGCTTCTGGCAGTAAGTCAAAACACACAGGTCCCATATAAAGTGACTTCTGAGTGCAACTGATCGACTTCAAATGAACACGTTTTGTAGAATGTACACATTTATTCTACCTGGAATTTGATGGTAGCATTTTGGCTTGTGATTGGGACTTGCAGAATAGATTTTAAAGATAAAAATGATTTCACCCTTGGTCTAAGAAAGTGTGGAAGCTCTCTGTCTATTGAGACAGTATATGCTTGTCTGTAAAATATATTGTTGGTCAAAAGGGGGGGAAACATTTTTTTAAGAGTTTATTTTTCATTTTTTAAGGTAACATCATATATTTCTTCCATTCTCAAACATTCCATGACATATTGTAGCCTTCCTCTCTTATCTTAAACATTTTTCTATCTTAACCTGTCTTTAGTCCAGTTTTTTAATTCCATCTCATCTTCAATCATTCTTGTACACAGTCATTTACTTTCTAATACATCATCTATCATTTTTAGCTAGCCTATTTCCATTCTATTCTATCTTTTTCATCTTTAGCCAGTCATAAATTAATTTCCATCTATCCCAGAAGCAGTCTTGAGATTTATTTTGTAGTTCCACATTCAACTTATCTATTTCTGCTATTTCTAGGATTTTGTATTTAAGTTCCTTTATCGACAGTATACCTTTCATTTTCCAGCGCTTTGCTATTAATATTCTGGCTGCTGTTAAAATGTAACAAATTATCCGGTTGTGTTCTTTTATTGTGTCTGGCACCATGTTCAGTAGGTATGTTTCTGGTATTAACGGGAGATTGATTTCTAATTTATCTAATAGAATTTTATGAATTTTTTTCCAGAATATCTGAATTTTGTTACATCTCCACCAAATGTGGAGTTAGGAACCTATATTTTTCCCACATCTCCAGCATATGTTAGATGCTCGGGGAAAACACTTGGCGATTTTCTCAGGAGTTCAATGCCACCTGTAATACATTTTATATACATTTTCTTTATATGGTGTTGCTCTCATATATTTTATTGGGGGAAAAACATTTTCTAATAGGTTATTTTGCTTTCTGATTAAATAAAGACAGCTGTAAAGTCACCTATAACCTGCGTATACTGATTACAATACAAAGTGCAATTACACTAAGATCTATCTTTTTTAACTGTGCGTAAAGTGCCATCAAGTCTCAGCTGACTTATGGTGACCCCGTAGGGTCTTCAAGGCAAGAGACATTTAGAGGCAGTTTGCCATTTCCTGCCTCTGCATAGCATCCCTGGACATCCTTGGTGGTCTCCCATCCAAGTACTAACCATGGCTGACCCTGCTTAGCTTCCCCACTCTTCCACATGAAGCCTGCTGGGTGACCCTGGGCCAGTCACAGTTCTCTCAGAACTCTCTCTGCCCCACCTACCTCACAGGGTGTCTGTTGCAGGGAGAGGAAGGGAAAGTGATTGTAAGCGGCTTTGACACTCCTTAAGGTAGGGAAAAGCAGGGTATAAAATCCTTCCCTTCTTCTTCAACCAGTGCTGTGCCATCTCTGAATCTAACTCTTGCAAGACAAAAGATTCCCTAGAGTTACCTCTAATATCACTAGAGTTATCGCCGATATACGACTTCTGTCACATGACATTACTAACTCACCCACTTTATCATCTGGTTCTCTCTCTCCCTTAACTTTTAACATACAATATATGAAACAGAAGTGAGAGGACCACAAGACTCATGGGGGGGGGGATCCCATATCCCCCCTTGCTGAGCCAGCGAGGCTCCAGGCCCCACCACCCAACAATGAGCCCGGGAGCTAGTGTCCGCCACCACCCCAGTGACTGCTGGCGTCCACTGCTGCAGCATTTAGACCTGGAGTGGCTGCCAGTGTCCACTCCTCAAACTTGGAGCAGCTGCTGGCACCTTCATCTCTCAATGCCTGACCTGCAGCAGCTGCCACAGCGGCAGCTGGGCCTGCTGTGGATGCCAGCATCCTCTGCCATGGGGCCTGCAGTGGCTGCTGGTGTCCATTGCCAGCATTCTCCTCTACTGTGGAAGCCAGCTGGAGCAGTTTCCCTGTCAGCATGCACAGACAACGCAATGGTATTCTGGAGGAAACCCCCCCATCTATTTTGTTTCTTAAAACAATCTTTAAAAAACTTGAGTCCCCCAAGTTTGCTGGAAAATCTTATTAATGTCTGTGTGGTCCTCCTGATCCACAGATTTAGCGATCCACAGATAAAGGCCAGACGTCGCTAATAGTATATAGGTATTTTGTGGGTGGTCTTTGTTTTTGGTATGTCTTGGTTTATATTTTATTATTGTTAGCAGCCTCCTTTGAGCATTTAGAAAAAGAGTATACAATTTAAAACAAAAAAGTTTAAAAGAGTAATCCAGAAGAGCCATGCAGATTGCCTCCATTCTGGAGATTCTTCCATTTCAGGTTACAGCGCTAGAGGGGCAAGAAGTTAACATCTGGAGGTGACAGATGCTGGCAGTTTCCTATGCCCAGGCTTATCAAGAGATGGCTCCAGTTGCAAGAAGAACACCGTTCATGTGGTCAGCCCTAGTGAAGCAGATTAAAGGCACATACAGCCTGGCCATTAGCCTCTGAAATACCGCAAATACTTACAGCATGGCTATGCCCCAGTGTTTGCCTGCTCTTTCCCCTGCAGCCTGGAAACCGGAGAGCCCAATGAGAGCCACTGTTGGTGTGATGGTCAGGGGCCCAATGTATCTCAGAAGGGCCCCTGGCAGGCCCAAAAAACCAATCACCACTTCTATCAAAGATGACATGATAATAGCACCTTGGATCTGAACACAGAGAGAAAAAGAAACAAATTAGTTAGATTTTTTAAAAAAACAATGACATTTAAGTTACTGAGGGGATTTTCAAGTGGGTCATAAACTGCAAATCGAAAGAATTCAGTGACTAAGCAGAACAATAGCACGTGTCATTCAGTGCAGTGCTTAAGCAGCAAGTCTTCCAGATTAAAGAATGTGTGTGACGTTCAGAGGTACATTCTAGATTCTATAGAAAAGGTTACCAACTTGATCCATCTTACTGCTTAAGCACATTGCTAAGGTTTAATACCCAACAGGGTTATTAGGCCACTCTGGCAGTTGTGTCTACAGCACATCACACTGTCATACAGGAAGACCTGGGTTCCAAGCTAACCTTTAAAGCTCTGAGATCGAACCGGCAAGGGCTGGTGGCGCCACGGAGGTGATGCTCTTAGCTCCTAGGGGCAGAGTGTATGATGCATTTGGTCACACGTGCTCCTTAGAAGCTGGCATAGAGCAGCGCAGTGGTCTCAGGAGACTGCCAGCCCCCACTTGGCTGCAGGCCTCTTGGCAGGATGGAGCTATGGTTTGAAGATGGGGAAGAGAGAGGGGATGTTTTAAATTGAGGAACAACTGGCAGCCCAAAGCAATGGGATGGGAGAAAAGTTCCATGACACACGTGTGAACTAGGGGCTATGCTATTTTCCCCCCTGTAATGAGACAACTGTTGTGGGTTCTTTAAGATAAGTGGCATTTGTATCTAAAGGCTGGACATTAGAGAGGAAGGAGAAACTGAGCAGCTAGGTTAAGATGTGGTTTTGGAAAAGCTAGCTGCTCTTTCCAATTGTACCTGGTTTTCAGAAAAAATATGTGAAGACTAAATACTGTTTATTTTTCTGCAAACCAGTTGACTGCATTGCCATGCAAGAACATCCAAGGATCTGACAGCAGCTTATTGCGGATTTTAACCAGCTGCACATGTTGCAAGATGCAGAATGCTAAGTCTCTGACATAAGACGGCATGGTCTCACGGACATTGTAGTGTTATTCATCAGGGTTTGAGGCTTTATAGCCACCAATGAATACACAGAAAAGGTTAAAAATCTGCATAATGAAACTGCAGAAAAAGCCACATGCAAAGGGCAGCAAAGAAAGAGTGCAACAATTTTAGCAATTCTAGAATAGCTGGATGCCTAAATGAGAAGTGCTCACTGAAGGGAGGACGGCGTATTAAATACACTCTGCAAGTTACCTCTCGTATCCTGGGATACCAGATATGTTCTGTGTGCAGCAGCTCTGTTGTTCCGTTTGTAACCATTACAGCTTGGAAGGGTAAAAAAAAAACACTTTTCATTATGGCAACATAAAATTAAATACTTTGAGACAGTCTAACCTTGTCTAATATTGGAAAATCTCTTTCCATTTCCCTCCCCATCTGCTGATTTCTGCACTAAAAATCACAGAACAGAAAAGAAACCCAAACAACCACGAGCCCAAAAGCATTACTAGCGGGGACATTTTGCCTAAGAAGAAGAGATTGGATTTATACCCCGCCCTTCACTACCCAAAGGTGTCTCAGAGCGGCTTACAAACTCCTTTCCCTCCCCCTCCCTACAACAGACACCCTGTGAGGTAGGTGGGGCTGAGAGAGCTCTTTCCAGAGCTGTCCTTGAGAGAACAGCTCATCAGAACTGCCCAAGGTCATCCAGCCAGGTGCAAGTGGAGGAGTGGGGAATCAAACCCGGTTCTCTCAGATTAGAGTCCGCGCACTTAACCACTACACCAAACTAAAACAACCCCAAGCTTTTCTTTAAAAACTTCCAAGGAAATAGAGATTGCAGAACTTCAGGGACAGAGAACAGTGAAAAGTGCAATCCATCTACTCCTGAATGCCAGATACTAGGCACAAGCAACAGTGAAATTCATCCCCTTCATGCCCTACTTCTAAGCAGCCAGCTAGAGCCTAGCTGTTGGGAATGATCTCTGGCTGGCACAGGTAATTCTTACATTTACATTCTGTGGTTGATTCCATCTACCTTCCAGCAGTTTTAACCCAGCTGCTTGGTTGTCTTATTCCAAGTAGACAGAATGAACATTACTCCCCCTCTTCTTTTTGGGCATCCTGACTAATATTATCCTCAGCAGGCTAATCATACAGTCCTCATGGTTCCTTACAAGATCTGTAAGGAAACTCGCAACAGGCTATTTACTGTGCTTAGGTTGCATTCTTCAAAGACTAACCACGAATGCGTCACATTATGTGGCATTAGTGGTTAGTCCTTGAGGAATTCAACTTGAGTGGGTAACCACAATCAGCACTAAGAGGCACAGTACCACTTAACAGCTACATAGGGATGGCTTCATAGCACAGATAACTGGACTTTTGTACAGTCTGTCTCCAAATTTATCACCAATTAATTTGGCTGGCTAGACTACAATAGCTGCCCCCATCTGATGCCTTATGAGGGTTAGAAACAGCCAAAGGAGATGGAACAACGGCTCTTTTCATAAACAAAAAGTTCTGTATTTAGTATTGGTTAACCTCCGTATATCTAGACACAGCAGCTCTTCCAAGACATGCAGGAATGTAATCATGACATTCTATCAAGTCCTATTGCACAGCAATTAAAGACACAATAATGCATACTCAAGTCTGATCTACACCCAGAAAAGTCTGGAGTTCTACACCAAAAAAGAACACAAAAAAGGTCTGTGATCAAAGCATGCAATTCTAATTGTATCGCCCCCAGGTTTAAAATGTCTTATTTATTAAATTTAGACTTTAAAAAACCACATTTCCACTCACAGAATGTTTAAGGCAGCTTGCAGATAAATGTTACATGCAACAGAATTTTAAAAACCAAAACACTCAAGATAAACAATTACATTTCTCTAAAGGCCTTCTGGAACACGTTGGTTTGTGAATGGTGCTGGAAGGCCTGTAACACTGGCAGTAATCAGACCTCTTGTAGGAAGGAGTTCCATAACTTACGACTGGCAGCTTGTTACACAAGCCTTTCTTTTGTAACAGGAGACATGAATAAGACTGCTTGGGAAATGCTCAGTTTCCCAACTGAGTAAAAAGGGGAAATAGGAATTTCCTTGGTAACACACAAAAAGCCAGTCATCAAATAAACATAGCAAGGGTTTTTTTAATGTATATATACAGAATTTCAAAGAAAATTTGTTTGGAAACCTCTTCAAGAATGTTTAGCTGCTTACAGGAAGGAATCCCCTTTCTCATAGGATAATGCTTACTATGATGCTGTTGAGTACCCTCTGAGCCAGAATGATGCACTGTGTAATGCTGGACTTAAACTACAGCTCAATAATGGGCTTTGGACAAGCCATTTATTATAGCCTCAGTTGCCTGATAGCCTCAGTTGCCTAATGTAAAACAGGAGCAACAACTTTGCTCATAGGTATGTTGTATGGAAGCTGAAGCAAGAACCTTAACACACTTTGCACATAAGAATGAACCACCACAGTTTATATGCAACTGACTTTAATATCCATTTGTGATTTCTTGGGAACCTGACAAATATTTGGACTCCAGGAGAACTTCAAAACCACCAATACCAAGACATCTTAAGTGATCAAAGCTTGGTAATTATACATTAAAATGTTATTCTACTCTATACCTTACCAGGTCTTTGCTGCATTCAAAATGAATAACAGGGAAACTCAAGGAATCACATGGCCATTCTTTAACACCATCCCACAATTTCCACCCCACCTGTGTGGAAAAAACTGTTCTGGGTTTTTCAGGCTACATGATTCTCAGAAAAGGCCAACAAAAAAATTAGAGCCCTTGCAACTCAAGCTCCCTGCAAAACAGCTCTGATTGTGAAAGTGCAGTCGGTCTTAAAACTGATGGCAATACAACCCCTTCTAAAGTAACAAATTTGTTCCCAGCCCCCAGTCATCCACATGTTCCAGTTTTTTTCCAGAAGCACTTCTGCACTACTTGACTTGTTAAATCAATACAGCTAACATCAGCGGGTGCCAGAAAAAGAACTGACAAACACAATAGTGTATACCACCAAAAGGATCTATCAGGTTCCTGCTGTCCAAACTTGCCCAAATGCATTCAGATTGCTGCAGCTTGCAAGGGACAGCAGAAGCCTCTGTTCTATGGAAATAAGATGGGATTTCATGATCAAAACTATAAAATTAAACATTTTATAGAAAATGCCACCAAAGGATTGAAGAGAATTTAGCCACAGTACGTAAATGAGCAGCAGATACACCTCTTTGCAGGACAGAAATAATTGGTACCTACAGAATTATTTCGGTGGGTGGGAGTTGTGAAGTTTACTTTTCCAGCAAATGAAGAACACTTGGGCATCAGTCTGCCCATGGTGGCCAGGGTCAAGCCCAAGCTGCTCTGGCAAGCTGTGATGAGGCTCAGAATAGAGATCTCTCTGGACTAGAGGTCAGTCCCCAAGAATTCTACTTCTGAAATCCAACAGACCCTTATTAAAATGATCAGACTGACAAAGTAATCCTATACCCACCTAAGCCCACTGATTTCAAAAGGGATGACTTCCATCCATTTCAACTCCAACTCTGAATTAAATACAGGATTTACCATTTTCATTTACCTCTAAAACAAAAACAAAAACAAAATCCTAACCTATTTATTATGACATACGCTTTTGTGGACTAAAAGGCTCTAGTCCTCCAGATTTTATGTCAGAATGAATCAGTTCATTTTTGAAGGAGTCACAAGATGGAGCAGAAGGGGGGGGAAACCCAGACTAACATGTGCCATCTGCCTACCTGTGTTGTTGCATTTCCACTTGTCCAAGGAGAGAATTGCTCTAGCTGGAGCCAAGAATGCAAAAGCACTGGCTTGAAATAAAGGTAACCTAAGGGAAGCAACAAAAAGAAGAAAAAAAGCTGATATTTTCCTCACAATGTCAATTTTTACATAGATTTTTTGTGGATATTTATTTTATTTTATTAATTTATTAGATTTCTGACTCACCCTCCCCCGCTAACGCAGGCCTCAGGGCTAGTTACAACATATTAATACAATCATAAGTAAATTAAAAACAGTTTTAAAATACTAGTCATAATAAACAGATGTCACATAACAATATAATTTCATAAGGGGAAAAAACTGGTCATGTCAGCACTGGGGAAGGCCAGAAGAAGAAGGGAGCAAACGGGGGGCCCATCAGAGAGAGTTTTTATTCTCCTCCATCAACCATAGGCCTGGTGGAACAGCTCTGTTTGACAGGCCCTGCAGAACTGTGAAAGGTCCCGGAGGGCCCAAATCTCTGCTGGAAGAGCATACGAGGAAAAGGATAAGACAGCAGGGTGGATCCAGCCATCCTCCAAGCAGCCTCCCTCCAGCCTAAGGAGCCTTCCTCCAACAGAACTGGCACATGCTGGAGGACGGCTGCAATGAGCCAAAAGGAAAGACAGAGCATAACTATTTTAATAAATACATAAATAAACAGTGCTCAGTGGAGTGGTAGGATAGGGATAAGAGCCACCTCAGGATTTGTTTCATATAACTACTTGAGATTTTGGTATCAGTGCCACTAAGATCGAGAAAACAGAATGAGGGAGGGATTCCAGTTCCAACTAATCTGCAAAATAACTTTGTGGACAAGCCAGTATTACAAACCCAACCCCCCCCCCACACACAAACACAAATTGGGAATAGTAATCAATGACCCCAAGTGCATTCCAGGACATAAGCTGACAGTTTTACTCTGATGGATGGGGAAGATGAGAAGAAGAATCAAAATCTGAATCTGTACCCCAAGTTCTGACTGGCCAAGAGACAGAACTCCCGTATCAGAGGGAAACCTCATAAATAAGGAAACCTGAGGGGCAGGTTTTTGTTCATGGTTTGTGGCCTTCAAGACACATGTGGGGCATGTTCAAGCAGCTCAGGTCTCCAGCAACTCCATGAACAAACCTCAGTAAGCTTTCCAACAAGAGGAGTACCCTGAACCCTTCCCTACAGAGAAGTATGCTTAGGTACTGTAAGCAGACCTAGTTAGTAACTTTTTCTTTTGTTTTACTAGAGTTCCGTAATAATAATTCCCCCTTGTCTATTTTTTTTTAATTTAACTTTTGACTTGCTACCCCGCTCAAACCCCTCACAGGGGTCTCCAAGCGGCTCTACAGTTAACCATTATCCCTTACCTAAGGCCACATATATATGCAGGGGTGGGGACTGTCCTAACAGCACCCAGTGAAGGGACGTTCTGGGACAGCTCGTCGCTCGTCGGCACGGCTTCTTCTGACTTTCTTTCCACCGGTGGTGGTACAGCGGGCCTCTCAGGCGGTCGGAGTGCTTTTTGGTGCAGCTTTCGGTTCTGTTTAAGGCTCCACTGCACATGCGCCTTCCACACTCCGACGTCTTCCTGGCTCCGCCTTTCCACCAGCGTCCGGACCCTCGAAGATGTTATGCCTCCATCGCCACCTTTCTTCCGCCGCTCGCCGTCTGCCACTCACCGCCGCCGCCTCTCGCCGTCGTTGCTCCACGGACCCCCCATGATGGGGGGGAGGGTGCCCCCTACCCTCTAAGGTAGGTACCCATTGATCTACTTGCACTTCGGTGTTACATCGTGCTTTCGAACCTCTGGGTTGGCGGGAGCTGGGACAAGGGCCAGGTGCTCATTCTGGCCGCGGTGGGAATCGAACAGCTGTTGCAGCTGTTCGAGACGTTATATGCAGGCGTTTAACCGCCTGCGCCACCGCTCCCTTCCGCGTCTATAGAGTGTTCCCAAATATCAGTGCTTTCTAGAATACATGCTTAGACAACAAACTATTAAAAAACCAATGGATGGTTTTTGGGAAGAGAACTATTAGGTACCCAAGAACTTTAGTCTTCTTGGTTGTGAGTCTATCAGGAAAAAGCTCTGGAATAGTCAGCATACACAGAGAAAAAGGAAGGTGGGGAAAGGCAAACTTCTTAATCCCCCCCCCCCAGCACACACACAAATAGAGAGGGCTGCCCAGATACACCCTGAATCCATACTGGTACTAACGCAAACACAGTAAGTTATTTTGGTGGTAGCACTTAGTAAGGTATATTCAGGTTTTAAAAACCCTCAAAGGAGTAAGTTCTTTAAAAACAGAACTTGTACCTAGCAGCCTTACTGCACAAAACTGGGAACCCTGGGTGATGGGGTGACTGGATGATTGTGGTGCTAGGAGTTAGTGTCTGTATCAAGAATATTATAAACTGCATCCATACACTGCAACAAACTACAGCTTACAATCCATTGCTTGATTCAACTCTGGTTTAGTGTGACACCTGAATACAAACACAGGTTTGCCAACAGGTGCCAAACTGGGATGCTAAATCAGATTGGTTGACAATCAGCAAGAAACGAAAGAGGAGGAGGGATGTTTAGAGCTTTAAAAATTCAGGAATTCCATGAAACTGCTTGACAGTGCTGCCAATGACTATTTTGTGGCCCTAGTTTTGTGGCCCCTTTCAGTCCGTGATCTGCCCATTTGTCATGCCAGTTCAGAGAATCTTGATTGCCATTGTCCAGATTTGTTTGCCAGGAATATTAAGTAAGCAGTGTAGGCACATGTGAAATAAATCTAATAAATAAACAAAGGAGGCTAGACTGGCCAGAGGATATCATAGAATCATAGAATGTTAGAGTTGGAAGGTACCTTGCAGGTCATCTAGTCCAACCCCCTGCACTCTGCAGGAGTATACTGAAAGATAGACCTACATACCTACAACATACCCAAAGATGGTCGTCCAGCCTCTGTTTGAAAACATCCAGTGAAGGAGCATCCACCACCTCCCGAGGCAGACTGTTCCACTGCTCAACCACTCTTACAGTTAGGAAGTTTCTCCTGATATTTAGCCGGTAATGACTCCCTTATAATTTACACCCATTAGATCTAGTCTTGCAATCCGGAGCAAGAGAGAATAGGTCTGCTCCATCTTCTACATGACAGCCCTTCAAATACTTGAAGACTGCACTCATGTCTCCTCTAAGCCTTCTCTTTCCCAGGCTAAACATACCCAACTCTTTCAGCCTTTCCTCATAAGACTTGGATTCCAACCCTCTCACCATCCTGGTTGCCCTCTTCTGGACACACTCGAGCTTGGCAACATCCTTCCTAAAATGTGGTTCCCAAAACTGGACACAGTACTCCAGGTGAGGCCTGACCATAGCAGAATAGAGCGTAACTACCACCTCCCGTGATCTGGACACTATGCTTCTGTTAATGCATCCTAAGATTGCATTAGCTTTCTTCACAGCCACATCGCACTGCAGGCTCATGTTTAGCTTGTGATCAACCAGAACACCTAGATCCCTTTCACATGTGCTAATGTCAAGCCAAGTCCCTCCCATTCTATATCTGTGCCTTTGATTTTTTGTACATAAGTGTAGGACTTTGCACTTCTCTCTATTGAAATTCATTGTATTTGTCTCAGCCCACTGTTCCAGCCTATCTAGATCATTTTGAATCCTGACTGTCTTCTTCAGAATTAGCAATCCCACCTAGCTTCGTGACATCTGCAAATTTGATAAGCATCCCCTCTATGTCTTCCTCCAGGTCATTTATAAAACATTGAACAACACCGAACCTAGGACACTCCACTCGAGACTTCCCTCCATGTAGACGCAGAGCCATTTACGAGCACTTGTTGGGTACGATTTTTCAACCAACCATGAATGCATCCAACAGTTGCACCATCCAGCCCACACTTAACCAGCTTATCCTCAAGGATATCATGAGAAACTTTGTCAAATGCTTTACTGAAATCAGTATGTAGCAGTGCACTACAACTGCATGAGTTAATTTTAGTCATAGAGTTTAGGAGTTAGCTCAGCCATGGAAGATGCCTCAGTTAAGCATTAACAGCTCTGTAGTGATCTCTGCTTTGATTCCATCAACACACCATGCCCTGACTGCCTGGCCTGATAGAATAGACCTCTAGAGATTGCAAAGCCTGAAATGAAAGGAGGCTACTGCAATGGTGCTCTACTACAATCTTTCTTTCAAAACTGTACACCTTGCACTGCCTCAGGTCTTTCCCTCAGCTGATTCCATGGCTCCCATGGATAATTTTTTATTATTATTATTCCCAACTCATGTCACAAGCAGTGTTCCCTCTAAGCTGAGTTAGTGCGAGCTAGCTCACAGTTTTTTAGCCTCTGGCTCACAGATTTTCGTCTTCGCTCAGGAAGGAGGGCTCCAGAGCAAAACTAATGTATGCAGCAGCCAAATCGCTCGCTCGCAGCTTTAAGGCCAGTAGCTCACAAAGTAGGATTTTTGCTCACAAGACTCCACAGCTTAGAGGGAGCATTGGTCACAAGAGCCACTCTCATAATTTTAACTCATATGCAGCTTTGAAATTGTGACTGTGTATCCCATGGTTCTTTACTTGCCAGTCCAGTCTCACTTTCTTGGATTTATTGCCTGAAATGTTGTCCACATTCCCTGCTTGATCCCTCCCCCCCCAGGAACTCCTAACCTTTACGCTGGTGTAGGTCCAAGATCTGCTTGGATCTCTGGACTGTGGAATGCTATAAGCCACACCAAACAACACTGCAATGCAGAAATGGATAGTAGGCAATAGCACCCTCCAGCCTCTTGGCTGTCATTTCTCCGTCATCCCTTACTGTGAGATGTGCATTACATGGTATGGGTATATATTATGTGAGGGTTGGAATTAGGGACATCTGTGGGCTCTTTAACATCGTGGCATACTGTAATATTTGTGGGCTCTTTAACATCGTGGCATACTGTGTGACATTTGAATATTATCCTGACTTTCTGCTTGTACCTTGGTTTCTCTCAATAAACTTTCTCTGATTCTGAATATTACCCTGACTTTCTGCTTGTTGGTTTCTCTCAATAAACTTTCTCT